TTTACTTCACACATGACGACTTTTATGTTTGCTAGAATTTTTCCTGAAAACCAATTTCTAGGATGTTTTTATCTATTAAAGTCGCGTGCTGGTATGTGCTGACCGATGCAAAAGGAGAAAGTGTTATTCGAATTTCCAAAGATCAAAAACTGTTCTCAGTTTTATTCTCAGGAAAAACTTTGCTGAAATAGTTGGTGTCAGCATCCGTACTGGAGAACATCCGTAGGATATGAGACAGCTCACGAGTTATATTTGAATCATTGGTGAATTGTAGTTTTCTGTAATTCTCTCTAAAAATACTGACGAATCTCCCAGTCACGGCACGGTGTTGACGTGATTAATGCGAAAGGCTTGATGGTAAAGCCTGTAAACGTTCGTGATGTGAACTGTAGACCCTTGTCAATAGAGATTGTTTATGGGTTTCAAAAACGTATGTTTTGTAATACGAACATGGTGATAGCTAAATTAATATTTCTTCAACAAAAATAAAAAACATTTTCTCTCCTAGGAGAGCAGCAAAGTCAATATGTACCCACGCAAAAAGCCATACGGCTGCAGGATATTTTTGTTGCATTTTTTTGGAGGTATAGTGAGGACAGTGTCGAATCATCTGTTTGATGTCACATGGTTAATATCCTGTCATCCATTTCGCCCTGGTGCTGCCTAATGTGGTAGTAGTAATTGTTTTAATAATCTGGTCTTTGCCATCAAAATCAAATCATAAATCAATAAATCATCCAATCAAAAAATAGATAATGAACTACGTCGGTTATCGAAGCAGGATAATAGTCGTTAATTGATGGAAACTATTTCTTTTCAGTAAAATGATTGTTTTCTGAAGAGTCATATTGTTGATGGTTGTACAGTGGATATTTTTCAATGTTATCGGAATGCAATGGTGATTTCAATATGTGAACTTCATCAAGCTTTTTTCAACCTGTGTTTATGTTTTACTTTACAACTTTATGTTCAAGTTCTCTAAGGATCTGTTGGTTATAGCAATAGAGCAATAGCAAGTCGTGATAGGGCATAAGCATTGCCGAGTTTATCAATTCTTTTACCCTGAATCTTGAACTAATAGAAGTGTCGTGTTATCTTTGTAATATTTTGGCCGTGTAGATTGAAATTGATACTGGATATGGTTTGGCAGTGATTTATGGCAGGTGAATAAAAAAAAACTCGTCCATAAATCTACTTATGGAAGCTTTGCTAAGCAAAAAATTATCGCTGGAGCTTCTTTTCCGGTTTGCCTATAGTTTTGTCCAAATTTATTTTACTAGTAAATTATTACCAAATTGAGAAAGGGTGTCAGCATGTTGAACAGCTTCTCCGGACCATTTGGATGCTGAGGCAATATTACAGTATCAATGTTATAGTCGTAGTTGCGACTATAATTAATAGTAAGGGCTCGTTGTGAGTGGGTAAAAACGCTGGTTATAAGATATTTTTAGTGGAATTATGAAATTTCTGACATTCTCCTGATCATTCAGACAGGTAGAATTTATTAATAAGTCTACCGATTTCTCTAAAACGGTGACCATTTCAAGAAATGATTATACTTCTGACCCATTTCTAGATAGATACAGTAGCCTCAATCTTCTTCAGATCTTTTAGTGTAATAACGAAACTTAACTAATTGATCAACGTCTCCGTCAACGGAGCATATGGACTTTAGATTTGTCATCTTTATGTCGTCAGATCAATTCATCAAGCCTTTTCTTATGTATTGAGATTGTCATGATATCGACTAAATAGGCTGACACGCCATTTGATTAATAATAATAATAATACGGTCTAACGTTTTGTGAAAAAAAAACTGAGACTATTTTTTTTTTTGAAAATCAAATGTGCGTCTAAAGCTAAAGTTCCTTTAATTCGTCATCAATTTTTAACTGAATAGCTTTTTCCAACATATACCGCAAAGAAATATTCTCCGTCGTGAAGCAGAGTAAAGACACCATTTGGTATTGGTTTTAGGCAGTGGCAGTTTTTTTAGTATATCATTCAGACCGGTAGAAAAATCTACGCATAAGTTAATGTCAACTTTCTTTTCCTTTAAGTTAGTAACATTTAAATAGCATATTCATAGTAGGCGACTTTGTCACAAATGGCAGTTCCTTCCTTAATTTAGAAAGACTGTGGTACCAAACTGGTCTAGACTTTATTAAAGTTGAGCTATTTCTTGCTCCGGGTTTTTTTTCGGATATGAGTCCTCATTTTGGCGTATTTATTCAGGTCGGAAGCGAAAATGTGGAGGTATACATGTGTTAGGTTATTTATCGGATCCCTTCTTGCTATTCTGATACTATCTGATACTACTACTATCGAAGTTGAAAACAATGATATTGTTTTCAACTTCGATTATCTCTACCATTGTATCTGGGTCTCCGAATATTCTCGATCTACTGCTTGCATCTAGCCTAATAGCAACACATTGTAACTAATGGCATAGTGTTTCGGTGATATTTGCCGTATTATTCGAAGTTTGTTATTAAGTGTATAAAGCAATTTAGTTCTTGTATGTTGACTGCACGTAATGAACGGTTACAACGTATCGGTAGAGGTGCTCCTAGTTTTTATCGCGATGCGGCTTTGTTGTTTGTACTCTTCAATAAATCCTAGTAGATTTATCACTATTGTTAATAAAATCGACCCCTGCAATATCGGGCTCAAAAAAGTTCAATAGCTCACGTAGTAGCCTGGTTGAACCATGCGCTTGGGAAGTTGGAAATATTTTGACGAGAATATCTGTTACTACTCGTGCTACTGGATTCTCCAGATGGCTCATATATCATATTCTCTTTTATGAATACTTTACTGCCTCACTCTATTTACTTAAACTGAAAGTCCTGGAAGAATGCACGAACTACAGTGATCAGAACATATTTCATCCAGCTTTTGGATCACAAATCGTGTTCTCTGTCTTCCGCTAGGGTGGCGTCATATTTGGTGATTATGTTTTTATACCAGGGATGCCAGTTTTCTTTCGGAACTTTGTCATGAAGTCACTGCATAATGTAGCTTCTTGTTATTGTTGTTGTGTCGCTGGTAGGGTCTGTGCTTAAGCTATACGATGGATGCACTTTGGAAAAATCGATTTAAAAAAGCTTCAAGGTTCAAGCGTTAATCATCATTCTGGTGTTTTGTAGTAGTGACAGGGAATGTTTTTCGTAGCAGTAGTCAAATCTTGTAGACGGATCAATGGCTTTTATGGCTAGTAGCTTCTTAGGTTATTACGAGCGATTTCGGCGGACTGGCACCTTCTAAATAAATAGCACTACATCTACCATTCGCGTTCCTGCATCTAGTTTATCTACACCTTTTCGAAATAAATCTATAATGAGATATACTTGGCCAGCAATGTCTTTACAGCAAAGAAAGCATTGTAGTCGCACAGACTTAGATCAGGGAATAAACGGGTTACTCAATTCAGGGAATGATTGAGCCATGGAAGTGGGATCTGGCGTTAACATCAGATGTTAGAGCTGCATGTTCTCGATTGCCATGCTAACGGTTCATCAATTTCTTGAGGAACTTTGAAAACCGGATAGCATTAATTGTTTCATTTACGGCTAATAGTAGCAGATGCTCCCAATGTCAACTACAAGCACTACAGTCATCTTGCGGCCGAACCTATGCGACATTGCCAAAGAACTCGACTTCTCTCCAGCTGGTTTCCTGAGTGACTGATCAATGACTGAAATGCCGTTTATGACGACCTTACGCTGTAGGCGTTCCTCCCTTTTTTTTTTTTTTTTTTTTTTTTATAGAATTAGGTTCTACAAATTATACGCGGAATGCACAAAACGTTTTTCCAACTGGCCTGGAGTTTGAAAAACTGGCATGTTAGATGTTTGCATGATCATTTCGCAATAGGCTATATGTAAAATGTTATTTCTGGCTGAAAGAGGCCTTGGACTCTCTTGGAGTTCTGCTTTTGTGAAAAGCCTCTCAGAATGCACTAATGAGTTTTTGCCTCGCTTAAATATTCTAATCTTCGTCATTAAAACGTTTGTACCATTTACGCACTGTGTTTCTGCTTAAAGCTTTCTTCCTCGGTTATTTTCCGCGGCGCTGTGGCCTTGGAGGAACAAGGATTTAATCACTGAACATCGATTTCAGAAACTAAACGGCGTTTCTTCTTTTGAGTCTAATTATTCTGGAGCGAACTTATGCGGCTTTCACTTATCATTTTCTTGAACAGTTCTCATCAGTTTCGGTTTACCAAAAAATTTCGTATACGTATATATATATATATAGATATTTGAGTGGCCAGTAAGTAGCCAGAATAGTTTTAAAAATGTTTTGACGTATATTGAGAAACGTTATATATCTTCAAGATACATACTTACCTAGTAATATGAATTAAAGAAAATTTGCGGTCTAAAGAAAGAATACTTTGAAAACGACTAGGTAGTGGTTGTGTTTAAAATCGTAGCTGTAGTGCCGATGTGGTTACATTGAATAAACATTACCACCAAAAACGAAACTTCTTACACACACAAATATCTGTTTTTATCTATATACAGTTTTAGAAACAGGGCATGTCAAAAAATTATCAATTTAGATGTGTTATTGTGCACCGCTATATATCGTTGCGATAGACAGACGATGTTCTTAATCAATGTTACATCTTTCACTCGCCGAGCAATTTCACTACCTTACATATTTACTCCATTGAACTAGATATTTAGAGAACTGACGCTATCATTGCTTAATACTAGTTTATTTATCTCGGTGAGATTTTTTGTAGACCAAAGATGCGTATGATAGCAGACATTTTGCTTACCCCGAGGAAGGTCATGTGTAGGTAAAGAATAGATAGGGTGGTGTCTCAAGCAGGCTTCTAGCATGCCTTGATTACCTCGCAAGCCAGCCTCACTGAACGGTGAAGGACTGTGACTTCGATTCTAACGCCAACAGCACGTACAACGGTTGGCATACATGCATTGTAAAAGACTCTTTAATGATGGGCAGCTTCTCATTCAGAAACAACGCTTGTTACGTACAGTGATGCCCTCTTTTAAAACTCGGTCGAATTATGGAGGGTGTGTACTTCCTTTCGTGTTGTCCAGGTGGTCGTCTTGTCGAGAAATATAATATAAAAAGCAACGCAACGTGATTTTAAGACGGTGCTAATTAAGTGGAACTCTTAAGAAATTTCAGATTGTATTTAAAAGTGCCACTAGCAGTTTGACGAATATTTGTTAGTCCAAATTTAGGTACTAGGAGGGTAAGTAAAGATAAAAGTTTTCTCAACCCTATTATTATTATTATTATTGTTATCCATTCTCGATTTTTCACCTTTTGTGCTTTCAACCCAAATAATTGAAATACTAATATAAATAATGGTAAAATAACAACTTAATTTAGATAAAATTTCTCAATGAAAGCGCTGCACGAAATAATGAAGAGCATTGCTTTCATTATGAAGCTATCAGGTTAAGCTCGGGGGGAACTGTGTTTTTTAGATCTTTATTATGCATTTCGCGCAGATAAACAGTGTATCGCTCCGCATGATCTTGAGATGATTCTAAAATTGAAACGTTCAGGTTTTAAAAGGTCAAATTTTTGGGCTCCGCGCTAGACCTTTGTAAGCTTTAGGTGGCCTTTTTATGAAGTTACTAGAAAACGAAAGGATTTGTAAAAAAATAAGTTGATATTTGATTAATTCATGGTGTAATCTTCGTTGCCTCTAGTCGTGGGAATTCAAAGAAAATTTGGTTTCGGAGGCGATATTCCATGCTACCATCCATCCACTGTTCTGCAAATACATGTCCAGATAGTGAAGTTTATCGTATCCAAAGATCTTGATCTTACTGGGCGCCAAACTCTGCTTAATATCTAGAATGACCGATTGATAGGATTTTAACCAATGTTAAATGTCCTCTGAACTAAGTGTATCTTTATTGTTTTCCGTCCATTTTTAAATATCCATTTTTAACGCTATCTGTATACATGTTTAGTGAGCGACAAAATGGAAACTGCTTACACGGAAGGTTATACTTATCTGGATATAAGGGAACTGCAACTGAAAACCTTCCACGGAACAATAAGAATAAATACAATGAAGCAGTAGAACTAGTAGAAGAACCCAGTGATAGAAAAAAGCTGCACCGGATTTTGGTTTAAAACGCAAGGTTAGACTAAACTGGGAAAACAGAACGAATAGGGTTGGGTTCAAAAACAGGTCATATACGAGAAAATTGTCCTAATACACCTAGGTGCTGAGAAGCATAAGCATGTTGATGCCATTTGTTCCTAAACGGATTATGGGACAAGCACTCAGTACCGTTACTAATTCTGCAGACCCAGTATATATTTTCGCAGTGACAGTGTCTGCGTATCTGACTGAAGCGTTTCTTTTTAGCGCTGATTGCATCATATGTGATGTAAGATTCCGCTCTAGTTAGTCATGAGATCACCACCTGATATATTAAACCAGACCAATAGGCCATCTTTTCCTTGGCGGCTTGGCCGTGATTCCAGATTTTGAATCGGAATCAGCTCGTACTCGTCAGTGAGCCAGTATATCCGTTGAAGGTTTGACAATGTTCTTTTTTATTTCTATAGATCTTCTGTGCTTTCTGGGCATGTCATATTCATGTTGGAGGTATGTTCAGTTTGAAGATGCTTTAAAAACTAGTAAAGCACATGATTGTCGTTGACAGTTTTGAATTCATTATACAGCAGTTGTCTCCTAATTTCACCAGGAGGTAAATATTTTCTAGTCGTATTACGGTCATCCTTTCGGTTATATATAATTAGAATTTAAGTTTCTATATATATCAGTATTTCGAATTCAAGAAAGGGCTGAATCTGTTTAAAAAAATTGCCGAAGGACTTCATTGATTGTTCATTATCAACGTCTGGCTTGATAATAAATACTAGGTGTATCGGCGAAAGTTACACTTATAGATTCTCCATAGCGAATCCAATCATGGCAATCACCGGTGGCAGCGATTTTTCTTATAGCTATGATGGCCTGACCCGTACCTTTTTCGCGAGGCATACGGTCGGAATAGGGATTTGCCAGCAGTGTAATAGAAGTAAAAAAAAAAAACGCAACGGAATGTTTGTCAATGAGATTAGTTTGAGCTTGGTGTTAAACGTGGCTATTCTTTTTGTAATATCGTACTTTTTCGACAATATAATCTTTATAAAACTTTATAGGTCAAGATACAAGGAAAGAAAAACACTTCAAAAGACTGTATAAGGATATATGTAATGTAGTTTTGATGCTTTTCGAGTTGAACTTCATAATTGTTACATACTACCACCACTACAGTATTTATGTACAGGGAGCAAAAGGACAATATCGCATAAAATATTTTTGAAGACCGTTGAACTTTATTTACTCTCCTACAGAGTTGCATGATTCTTAACATGCGTTACGAGAAATAGAGCAAAATATGAATAAATACACAAGCGCAGGAAGAGTGGAGGTGAAGCTCTTCTTCCTGCCAGTCAATGGCAAAGCTGAATCATTCGGTTTCATTTCGGTAGCAGTTGTAGGATGGCTGGCAATAGGTCGAAATCCCTCCAGTTGAAGTTTGTCGAGGAGAGTCTTAAGCGATAGGCTGACAAGTATAAACTGTGCTAGCTCCAAATTTATGGGTAGCATCAGACCACCATGCCATGCTGTTTTTCGGGTAGAGGAACTTTACGTAGCTACCACGCGTGCTGGTTTGTGGGGGATAAACAGCGGCGATCGCTACGCACATTAACACGGCAGTGTAATGTTCGGGACGATAAGAGGTATCCTTTTCCAGTGCATGACATGTCAGTCTTTATAGGTATCACAAATTGTGCTTTTCCTCGTTGATAAATCACCTACATTACGTTATTTTCATTTTATTCGAACGCCCAATGACAGCACCATGCCACAGGGGGTTGGTTTGGGAGTACAATCGTGCCAATGTGCTGAACTGCTATTTTTACTTATTAATTTGATTACAAAATGCAAATAGGGTTCCTATTGCTTTTCTAATTGAATTCGATCCCAACCGTTAGACCCCAGTTTTCCAGTTCTTCTCAGTGACAGATTGAATTGCTATTCAACGTAGGCCAGCTTGTCGTGCAGAAATATGGAGTTCATCACTATACTATAATAATTAAAACGATGCTTTTTATAATATATATTAGTATTCATGATGTCTGCCTATCTGTTTATCAATGGAGTGCATTCTTGCTCTTATTCAGGGGTTATGTTCCTAGCTTCTTAGGGGTGTGTGTATATGAAGTGATAGGGGCTAGACTGGGCTATCTTCCGGTAGATCCTATCCGGCCCCGTAATAGCTCAGTGGGTAACGTATTTGCCAATTGATTTTAAGGACATGTTGTGAATTAGGTTTAAACTCGAGCATAGAAAGACTTCGTTTGCTGCTGGGAGCCAGCTGTCTGATGGAACGCCCAACGACGATATCGGACGTAAAACGCGAAACATAGAGGTTTTATTTTTATCGAATGCAAAGGCTGGGGGCATAGCACTAAACAGTACTATGATGGCAGCCACGAGCATTGCCCTAAGCGTCTCAATACGCTTTGCAGTTTACTAGTACAATTTACTTTTTTGTATGTGAGTGTCCAGTTGATTATTGCTTTAGTAGCAATCATACAGGGCTCCGGTTAACACACACTATTTAAAGTAAGTATTTGTCACTGTTACTCTTACTATTGCAGGAATGGTGAAGTATAGTACGGAACGCTGCGAGGAGGCACCTCGGAATCGTAATGGCTAAAATGAGTTAGCTTCCCGTAGGAGTTTTTACATTTAGGTAGTTTTCCTGGACAATTAATATTTTTTTCATTAAAGTTTTATCAACCGTTTTCCGACATAGTGAAGATGACCAACAGCATTGTCGCTGCACTGTGTGAGCAGGTTATATAAATTAATGTAAAAATACAGATCAATCCACTAAAGTTCACTGCCCAGGCCAGATACAGTAGAACGTTATATATAACCTCTCATTCTGTTGAAAGGTTGTAGTTTGCTTAGAGTGCATTGACAACCGGACGTTTTTTACGGACATTTGGTCTCTAGTTTAAACTTTAAGATATATATTTCTAATCTAAGTAACCTTCTCATTGACCTATTTCCAAAGCTTTCAGCAGTATTCGCAAAAAAATATAGAGAAAGCGTCATCTTTTATTCTACGAAGGAACTGAGAAGAATTTATTTGGGAATCAGTTTTAAATTTGAAATCTTGAAGTTTAAAAGTACACTACATAAGCATCCAATATAGTAGCTATAATAATAATAATGCACTCCATTTTACAATAATAATTATTGTATACTTACTTTAAAAATTAAATTTAGTTTAATTTCAGAAAATAAACGCGGTATAGATACAAACAGGACTTTCAGATAACCCGACCATGACGACTGACAACGAATTCGAGTTAAATGAGCTAGAAGTTTCAATCTTGTCTTCATCCTACGAAGATACAGCACGCAACACACGAAGAGCTATTGAGGATGCCCGATCTCTTGCTAGCGTCCACGTTAGCAAAGGTGCTCCAAACATCTTAATTTTTTGAGCCAAAAAGTCTGCTTAAATGTTTTTTGTGAAAACTCACGGTCACTTTCTAACCTGATGCTGTCAAACAATAGGGGTACCCTTACGCCTTATAACAAACCCGTAAGTAGTTAGTTGGTAAAGCACAGGACATAGAAAGCAGTGCTATGTTGACAGCCAAATATAGTTAAAAGCGTTTTTATAAATTATAAATTTAAATAGCGTAGCAATAATGGCGTATTTTACTATACTATTATACCATACTCCAGTATTTAAGTCTTCCTAATTTTCCGCTATCCCTTCGGGCTAACAAAGAGCAATTTACGGTATAGAGACTTATCGGTTAAGTTACAATAAGCTATTTTTTATTTTTGGTTTAATTTACAATTTTTTTTGTAGAATTATGCACTTTAGCCGGAGTTTAGACTTATTTATTGGCTTTCTATTTTTTCCGGAAATTCAACGATTGAAATTAGGTTCCATAATCTACGCAGCTTAATGGAGCCAATCTTTCTTCAAAACAAAGACCAGTATAGAAATTTGTCCCAATATATTGCACATCTGGGTATTGGGCTAGCGATGACCCATTAGTACATACACGTATTGCATTTATTCAAGCAATAGCTCGATGCTATAGAAATTGAGATTCCTAGTATTATTAACACTCGGCCGCGCTGGCCGCGTGTATGTGTGCTTGAAGTCATTCACGCTCTCAACTAATTCCTGCCAATCCTCAACGTTGTCTAGCCCTCGTAATTCAGCGATGCCTGTTCTATTTTCTCGAACCGGCACCCTTTCTTTACAAGCTTCTTCTAGCATGAAGGCTAAAGGAATTTCTAAAAAGCACAAATGCAATTTTTAAGCGTAATACACATTTAAATACAATGGCCACGGCATGCAAGATTCCTCTGGCGAAAATTAAGTAATCCATAGGGTTTCAAAGAACAGGATATTCGTGATTACGCAACGAATCATCCTGACAAAGATTTCAGCATGTATTGCCCATGTGTGGTTGTTATTTACGTGTATTCAGGCAGATTAGCTCCTGTATCTAGTACATTCAGGATCTACATTAGCTGCTAAATAGAAAAAAATCGTGTTTCTATCACGAAATCAACGTATCCATGAATGGATAAACGTTGTTAAAAAGTCTACGATGATAGCGAGCTTTACCTCATCGATAGACCGTTCAGGAACATCTGTGCGACAGCAGGAACGAGTGGCGCGTATTCTGTGTACAATACTTAACTGTTAACCGATTTGAATTTCTACTTTACGTACAGGTTTTTTTAAAACCTTCCGCCCTGGACATCTAAAATTTATTAGATATAGATAGATTCTCTTCAGTAATTGCCATTCCTACAATATTCCGGTGTTATAAGTTGTAACTACGCATTGCTTTCGATTCCATTAGCGTTTGTTCAAAATCTTTTTCCTTTTGAGCCAACTTGCGCCGGAGTGCATATATAACTGATTACTACGGTACGTAATAACCCCACTAATTCTCTTGTTGCAGGTATTTTATGGCCTATGGCAGGCTTTTTGCTGATCAATGCAGCGCTAGGAGCAGGCGTTCTTCATTTCCCATCTGCGTACTTCGAAGCTGGAGGTATTTTACCTGCAACGCTTGTGCAGATTGTAAGTTTGCGACTTCTATGGTGCTCCTCGTCGACGTTTGAAATAATTAGGAAAAGTTATCAGTATACGTACTTTTCGTGATTTATAATTGATTTCTTAAATTGTTTACAGACGAGTATGCAAAATGATGCAATTAAATGAGCATGTCGTGGTTAGAGTATTACGCGATAATGTCGCTAGGTTATTGGTGACCCATTTTTGTCTTCGTTTAGCGTTTCTATGTGGGTGGCTATGCTTCAATCAATATTAGTAAGAGTGCTGTATAACCAATGACTTCCAAAAAATCAGCTTGACACTTACACTGACGGGTAGTAAATGTAACATCGTAGCAACATACAGTTGCCCCCAGCAAGAACGGGTAAGTCTATTTAAGGCTTACAACATAGATGCCTACCAGTAGGCTGGAGTGATGCCATCTTACGGCTTATACCCAAGAGAATAGGCGACCTGCCTGACCCATCTTCTTGGAAATCGATCGCGAAGAAAAGCTGCTGCTACAAACCTTTGTCTCGTTTCATCACATGTCGGCTGAAAAAGTGCTTAAAATCGTTCACGTGCGTCTGCTGTACAGCATAAATTTCGTGCAGAATGTTTTGCCTCAAGGCACGTGATATACTGGCTTAAAAGGTGCGCCGTGTCTGTGACAGGCAAAAATGGGCGCTCTTCGCTGTGTTCGTGAACTGTAGATCTGCATTTGATATGGTTTCCAGAGACAAACATTTTGGGAAAACTTGTAGAATCCGGGGCACCACAGAACGTACTGCATCTTATGAGGGCCGTACGACACTGAGTGTAGATAACGGAGTGATCTGACTGGAGCCGTTTGTTTAATAAAGCTGCGTTGCGCAGGGACCTGTGCCATTCTCTCTGCTACTGGATGATATACCATTCCGTATTTAAGATCCGGCGGGGCAAGTACAAACGTAACTCTAATTTGATAATTTTGTCACCCTTGAAAGAAATTGGTTTCATAATCAGCAAGCTCTCGTCAGGCTTTCGTGTTACATAAATAAGGCTAAACTATTCAACACGAACAAGACAAATCGTAAAGCTCCACCGTAGTGTTGCTTCCTACACGTTCCATTTAGATAAGACGAGCTTAAAGCACGTGAACGGCTTAAAAAATCTGCGAATTATCTTGCCTACGAACAGCTGAACCCTCGTAGAGCACACTACATACAAAGTGTCGCGAGCGATGGTTCCAGTGCGGAAATATATACGCCCTCGAAACTTTCTTAAAGGCGCGGGTCTGATGTAAAACAAAAGCGATCCTACTTTTTCCTACGAATTCAAGTTGCCTGAGAATCCCTCATCGAAGTAGCTCGAAAAATTTGATAGAGCCAAATTTTCGTTTCTACAGCGCGCCATGAGCTTGAATTGTTAAGAAGATACCTTCTAAGCTATACGGCGTTGTTCGTAGAGCATCCGAAAGATATATTCAAACTCTCCACTATCGTGGCCTATTCGAAGTTTATCTGCATCTAAAGAGGAAGATGGAAGATATCATGTAATACGGGAACTATGATTGACGAAGCCTGGTGGGGGACGACAGGAATGAATCGAAACCTAGTTACACATATTGCACTGCGTGGGTTTTATCAAATTATATGTAGGACAATGGGTTTTTATTTGCTAGGGGCTATGCGTACATGAACGAGTTGCGTGCAGTGTACTTTAGATATTGCACTATAGTATTATTGTTGGTAAGTCTTGCTGATTAGACACACTGGCCTTTTAATTCTATATAGCGAGCTTATACGTCAATGGGTCGATGCTTTTATACAATGTAGTAGTAAACATTTCTAAGAATAATATATATAATAATAAGAAGTATAGTTGTTTAAGCTGTGCACCAGTAGCACTAATTTGCACCACAATTCAAATTTGCTGAATAATTTTCTTTTCATTAGCATCTAATGTTCCTATTGAGTTTGACCATGATCATTTTGGCATCCGTGGCTGACCTGCGTTGCGACAATGCCTACCACGATGTCGTGCGTACGGCTTGTGGACCAGTTGCGCAACGTCTTGCTGCGCTCTCTGTTGTACTTGCCTGCTACGGAGCGTCTGTCAGTTTTCTTGTTATCATCGGTGATCAGTATGATCGATGTGAGTACAACAACTATAATCGAAGGAAGGTTTCTAAGGTAAAAGTGTAGAAAAAAGTCAAGCGAGCGTAAAGTTCCCGATAAAAGCCCTTTGTCGTAATGAAATTTAGCTGAAATGTTACCTACTGTGTTTGTTACTCGGCAATATAAAATGCACTTGACGGCGTTTCTGTCTATTTAATCGTGGCAAATTGGAACCGAGGTGAGTATACACGGCACAAAAGGCGCCTAACCCAAATGGAATAACATGTACAATTTATTGCTTTCTTTTTAGTATTTTCATCATTGTACGGAAGCCGATTTTGCGACGTGTTCTACCTGAGGCGCGAATTCACCATTTCAGCTACCTCCGTTGTTTTTATTTTCCCATTTTGCTTTTTCAGAAGGCTGGACTTCTTAAAATTTGGCAGGCAAGTGAAAAGATAGTAATTCATAACACGAAAAATGCGTATCACAATAAGCCGGTTTTCTCAAAAAAAGAGTTTAGTAATACTATTCAAGTAAGCCAGGACACCCATGCTTATTTTATGTGAATTTTTTTTAAGCTCACTCTAAAGCAGGCCAAATCTTTAATTTGTACACAACTACAGCTAGGATAAAGCAGTGGCATGTACTGCTGGGTAAGCGTATCGGTGACACCTCAGTCGGGTTTCGCACCGTGACGCACTAGACGAGTGATAGGTGGCGCAAGGGCTTGGAGCTCCTACCCCTGCCTGGAAACGCAACATTTTAGTATTACCTCTTGCTCTATGAGTGTATTCAGGCTGCCTTTCAATAGTCTACTCTTTTTTGTAAGGAGCTCTCTGGCCTGTCCGCGTTACGCCAGTATTTTCGAAAGATACATATATAGTCAAGAAACGAAAATGCATATATGTCGAGACTTTTTTTTATGCTGGCGTTAGAAAAGATTATTTTAGTGCGCGCTAGTATCTTGCATTGCGCTACGTCATAAAACACGTTGTTTTCTAATTCGTCCGCGCATTGCGGGCACATGCAGAAAAAGAGCTTCTCTGTTGGTTGCAAGTAATGTTAAATCTGCCCGTTGAACAGCCGGATCTGTAAGTGCAATAGTTCCCCTGTCGGCTTTCCCGACCAGTTTACAATATATTCGGAACATTGTGTTTTGTCACTGTTTTAGAAGCGTGGGCAGGAATAGCAGTTCATTTGCTGTGCCAAGCCTTCTGTTGTTGTGTAGTTTTAGGATACCATGGAATAGGTGCTGCCAGTATGAGTGCTTGCATCGTATTGACTTCCCAGTACGTTCGAAACACCCTCAGAGTCCGACCACATTAGGTACGTCAAAGGGCCTGCTACGAAAGCTGTGAAACGAGTCCGGCCTCATTCAGGATGGGGCTCCAAACAGAACGATTAACTTCACCACCATTATAGGCAACCTTCTCTTTTCCCCCTAAAACTATTGGTGTTTGCCATCATTTCTAATGGACACGCTGACACTGTCATACATTGGCTATCACGTTCTTTACCTGCTTCATGATCCTCGTGGCCCAATCTAACTGGATCTCCGAGATTTGGCATTGTAAGTAATATCCATTCTTTTGGCTTCTACCTAAATTGCTATGTCAGGAGGTTTTTCCCACGTATAGAAATGTTACCTCTGATTTTGCCGGCGCCAGTCTGAGGCCGCCGTTCCTCATCCATGTCGCCATGTTAGCCAGCGTTTGGTTTATGCAGCTGCACAGCTTCTTCGCTGTGCGCACTCGTACCGTTATTGTAAAATTGTCCGCGAACGCAATCAGATCCACCTCCCTTGGAAAGTCTAATGGTAGTCCGTCGTACGGCGGATTTAAAAGTAAGGGCCCCATGATGGTGAAAGTCGTTTCTCACTGTCCGCCTACTTAAATGGCCTGAGATCACACATATGATGTACCGGAGGACGTTGTCTTTTCAGATATTCTTCGGGTAAGCGACTTCGACATCCGAACGAACTGTTAGGAACAGATCACTCGATTGTCATTTACCTTTCGGCCTTGAAGACCGCTGATAGTGCTGAGTGCTAACCGCCGTTTCCTGAATCTATCTGAAGCCAACTGTGTAGCTTTGCAAAATATCGTAGCTTAACTTCAAGAAGCCTTTTACTAACAATCTTAGTGGGCGAATGGGACGGTGTAGATTATTACATTTAAGAAAAAGCACAACCTTTCCAGCTTTTTGAACTTGTGGTAACACTTTGTTTTGCATGGCTACTAGTCTGGAAAAAAATCTAAACTTTTAAAAAAGTATGCTAACAGCGGGAACTTTATCTGATCCTGGTCTCTTTCCTGGTGGTTATGCGTTTACCGGTTAACTTGTTTCTCTTCACAGAAGGGGTAGTTTTTTTTGCGCCTCGTAGGAAAAGCGATCAAACTTCGTATGAGTGAAGACAAGTGTGAATATTAACCTGCTTTCTCCTATTGTTGTTAGTTGTCCCCTTCTTAATATTCCTTCCAGCTGCTTTATAAGGGCTTCTAGAAAAATGTTCTTATTTTTTTTTGCAAGTATTTCCTTTTGCCACTTGTCGTTATTAATATGAATCTCTTTTCTAAGGTTTATCCTTGCGTTTATCCTACGGTCATCGATGATTTGACTCAGAAGCCGGACACTTTGGACCATTCAAGTCTTCCTTTTATTTTGTTGTGGTTGGCTTGCTCTTGCTCTATGGCATCACTCCAGCGGTATTTCGCTTGCACTGGATTTCTTCTCCTGTAATGATGGCATGCTCCTCGCAAGCGGCCTCCATTAGCCGCTGAAACAATGGTACGACATATAGCTCCCTACGTCCATATGGCAGCACCCATTTTCTTCCCTAACTAAATGTCGTAAGAGAAACTTGCCATGAGCTTACGACGGCAACCTTTTTCGAATTGTCGAAACGTGTCTGCTTACCTGGCTCAGAACAGACATAGCAAATGTGATTGGACGCAATCCTCGAGTGATTCTGTTACGGTCAAAATGGTCCTTTAGCTACCAATTCGCGGCTATCAGCGAACGTCTACCCTGTCAATTACAGAACAATTAGCGTAATCACGACCAAACGTTCAATTTATAATTTCGAATCGAACTCAGCTGGAAATTTTCGTGTTTCGAACACGGCATATGAGACTACCGACACTCCTAAAGATTTCCACAATTGCCAGCTGTCAAGGTGTAACTGACTTTGATCAAACATCCGTAGAAGAAAAAGATCGCTAATTAATTTCCTACATCAAACGTATTTCCGTTATGGCTAATCAAATTTTCTATCCATACTCGTGTATTGAGTGACATGAACTAGGACAACGTCGTGCCGTTGTTCAATACAAACCTTTTAGAAAAATTGAGGCTTTTTTTTTTCTAAGAAAGGACCTTTAAACGATTTCATGGCCAAGGTGTATGTTCATTGTGATGAGAACCTTTGAACAAGATTTTAGCGAATCTAGGGATGGCAACATTATGCCATTGACGGCCATTAATATGAGGTCTTCCGAGTGTGTAATATATTATTGCTCTGTTATGATATTGCTAGTACATGGAAATAGGACAAGCGATGCGCTGTCGTTTGCCGAAGTCTCATTTAATGGCGCCTCCAATATGCTTCACCGTCACAAGTTTATTAAGACAGAGTATGTTATATCGATCTCTCACACCGACAATATAGCTATAGAAATGCTCGGTAAATGTTTCGAGTTGTTTACGTGTGGCAGCCGCGGCGAGGGTTCCATGAGGCGGTTGGCTCCCAGTACAGAACCAAGTGTGTTTGTGATCTGATTCGACCCCAGACGACTAAGTGATGATGGCACAACGCTTCAAATCAGATTGATATACTGTTACTTCTCCTGGCGACTTACCGCTGACCTGACTTCTCGCATCAAAAAGTTATGCAAATCCCTAGACGTATTCATAGAGAGCAGTAAATTCACTCTAGGATAACGAGTTGATACCGTTCACCTAAGCTCAAGATTGGAAGCACTCATTCTCAGTTGCCAAGGTTTTCCAAGTACGTATGGTAAAACTCAAATACGTCTAAGCACTGAGTCGCGAAATGAAAATAGTTTCCAAGCCTTTGCCGTAGGCTTCTGACGACGCTTACGATCTTCGAATAATGTAATTTTAAATTTGCTTCCCTTTGTGTATTTCTAGCGCGTCCTTTTCCGCTATTAGGAATAAAACGATAGTGTCTTTCCAAACTGCCTGAGCCCGAATAGACCCGCGATTGATATCGAATATCACATTGCTCACATAAAGCAATATACTGTTCCTTTAAATTAACTATAGAACTGAAAGAACAGTTGTCGTAACTTTTGACAAAATTGCGTACACTTTTACATTTGTACCCTGCTCCAGACACCAGAGCGGCTGTAGATCGACGCAGAACCCTATTGAAAATCTCATCCAGTGCACTCACCCTGCTCCTACCGCTGCACCAATGACTGGCTGAATATGTATGACAATCCTGTTCCTCTTTGCAACAGGGTTTCCTTTAGCGGCCGATGGCACCCTGTAACGCCCCCGTCCGCCTCATCTGCTTTCAATCGGAGCGCCTGATGACACGCGATCGAAGAGTAACAGTCAAACAAAATGAACCTTTTTAGCCAAGTTCGCATTCAAAAAGCGTGTACACCTTTCCCGTAACTTAATTGGCCGCATGCTATCAATTATCCTTAAGGAATCAAAATATGTTCTCCAAAAACCACTTCTATATTTCTGCCAGGTCCTTTAAGGATGGTGAACCCTAAACGGGCCCATCGCAGCCTTGGTATACAAAAGACTATGCATAGCACATGATAATTATCACTTAGTTGCGCGGGTTTCAGTGTCCATGTTTTTCATTTAGATGAAAACTACCATAGTAGGTGCCATACTCCGCTATCTGTCGGCGGCGAGACTTCTGAATCCAAGCCAGCATGGCTTCAAAAAAAATAAGTCAGCGCGCATTTAACTATTGAAAATACGCTTACTAGACATTATCACCATGCTGTTTGGGATCTATGCAGCGTTTCCTTCGATTTTTCGTCCTCTTTACGGGAGGGGTCATAATCTACTTATGGTGTTAAAGAGTTTTAAATAAAAGGTAATATTCTGTGAGACCGCTCTCAACCGCATATTATTGACTACGCAATAACGGCGCCGCGGCTCGGTAGTTACTGCAAACCTTCCTTGAATATCTTACTTTTTTATAACTTTTCAAGATCCTATTTTTGTCTAGAACTCGCTGACACTATAATTCTATGCAAATACTCCTGTTTTTCACAGATGTGGTTCCCATTTTATTAAAATATCATCAACCTATTACAAAGTATGCTAGCCATCTTTGCCAAACGTGTAATATAGATGTACCTATGTATTTTGAAAAATTGCCGCGCTGCAAATCATCGAGTCCCTGCAGAAACAAACAGACCTAAAACATGTCGGAAATCGCAGAAGAAAAACGTACTGAATAATTTTTTTTCTGCTGAAACGAAATAGCTCACAAAGTGTTCTCTTTAGAAGCGCTCTAGAAGTAGACTTCTGAAAAGGAGAGAGAAGAATGGAATTTGGCTATTCTTAAAAACACTATGAAAATTCACTCTAAAAAAAAGATAGGAGTAGGGTGTATCTGATAATCCAGTGGTAACGTGTTCGCCTGCTGAATTTCGAAACCCGCGATCTTCAAAATCGGGCGTTGGTACACTGCGTTTCGTCTGGGAGCTGACTGAAACAATGCTTGGGGGTGGTATTAAGCGGAAAACTCGAAACATATACCAAGTTATTAAAGTCAATGAGAGTGGCTGGTCGCATCATCCGCGCGTCACGCAAACGTCATGATGCTTAACAATGTCACGTTTTTTTTCCCATAATAGCGCAGTGAATAACGTACTTACCTACTAAATTTAAGCGTATATTAAGGGTATAAATTCAAATTGGTTTCGCGCTAGGAGGCAGTCGTCGAAAACACAGCCTAAGCAGCGGACGTAAAATACGAAGAACAGATATGCTATATAATGTTAAAAAAAAATTAAATTTTTGCGAAGATTCATGTCGAATATATTGTTGTAATAATATCCGTGGAACTCAGGGTGGCCGCACTATAAGTAGCGAAGTGAATGAATATAATATAAATTGTGTTGGCATGTCGTGTACTTTACCCTGAGTACTAATAATAAAAATGATCTATAGATAAAAACAACGAAGACGGAAGCGCGCTAAGTGTTACGGATATGTCGGCGCGTTTTCTTTGGTTAGATGCTCGAATATAGGTTAATAATCGTCCGCTGACGTATTTCAATGGGGCTACTGATAACCCGTCCGTCCTGATATGATATGATATGATGGCTTCCTGTATGATAGGTTGACGGGGCTCGTGCTCTATACTGTCATGCTGTTTGGTCGTCTAGGAACTAATCGTGCGGCACCAGAAAATGATACTTTAGTCAGCAATTTGCAGCGGACGAAGCTCCCTCAATTTAAGTAGGGACCCTGAATATCAAAGCAATAGAAAGTGTAGAGAAATTAAAGAAAGAAGACCACGTCTTTTTGCCTGAGCGGAAGTCTTGTCCGGGTCTTCAAATATTCTCGCATTGATCGAGGTGGAGCTGTTTGTACGTGAATAATTAAGTTACTAATAGATACCAGGGACAACAGGCTGCCCGACTACTTTGCCTATCAGAAAAAGAAAAAAACGTTAAACAATTAAATTGTGCTGTTTATAAAATCGGCCCATCACTACTACTACGTTTATTGGAGCTATTTGATGAACCAATATCTATCATTATTATTTTTTTTTTTTCTAACTCGTCTAGTTGAAAAGGGTCAGAGAATGCGCCACTTTAAAGTGGAATGTCGGATACATCTTTGCCATTGTATTGTAAGATATAACTATTATCCTGTCTTACAACGATGACAGTATTCTGGGCGTGATGGTAATGGTATATCCAATACTCCTGATCATCCTCGCGTATTGCGGACCGGGGCAAGCTTGGATCGCAGCCGACATAAGACGTTATAAGGAAGCACAGCTGCACAGGTAATAGCGGGTTTAGTTAGATGATTATATTCACTAATATTTGCTATAATAGTTATTTTATGCGAGATGCCTCCATCAAAAGTGCAAATGTACTTGGAAACTAGTCTTAGGGGCTTCAAATAAGGACTTAGAGAAAAATATTTCAATGACTACAGGACGCAGGATCTATTTTTGCTGATATGCATAATATTAGAAAAAGTATAAAAACTGAATATGCTTGATTCGGATTAGTGAAATGTATTCATAGGCTGTATTACTCTGACGAGCCCTTTATAATAACGACATTTTTAACATCTTACGCTATTTGTAAATATGCGATGTTCGAGCATGCAGAAAGCTAGAGAAGATTTAGATCATGAATTCGTAAACAAAGGAGCTCTAGTATTATACTTGATATTTACTAGAAAATTAACCGATATGATGCTGCTCTATCATTTAAGTGAGAAGCATTTATCTTCTGCACAGGTTTCGCTTGTTCTCAGTTCTTCAATGCAATGGCCTATCCTCCATTCACACAGAGACATCCATAGATCGCTGTAAAATTAAGTTACGGATCTGTTATGATGATTTTGCTCTCGAGAGATATCTTAATTTTTATTGTTGCTACTGTAAATCATTTCTGGTCACCTGTTCACAATTTGTATGCTTCTCCCGTGTCCGCAGGAACGTTGGCTATAGCCATGTAATGATTTCCCTAAAGACAGAAGCTGTTTGTATGGTCGCTCGCCATTCTAAGGGGTTTTTTTTTCTCTTAACTCCAACTTGGACCGCAATATGGTTGGCTCTAAACAGCACTGATAGCCTTCCATTTTTCTAATGATAAAGGTTCTCAGCTAGGAGTGCTTTAGAGCTTTTGTCCTCTGGGATTTTAAGGGCACTCCTGTGGGAGCGCTCGGCCTCGTTCTTACGAAACGTCAACATGTATTCGGTGTTGTTGGCATGTGAGTGGCTTTTTCCTTCTCCTAGGAAACATAGCCTGCTGATAAGGTCGTGCTCGTAGTTTTCACGCACAAGGTAATATCCCTTCGTGTTGTTCGCCCATTTTCCCACTTTAGGAAGATAGGAAAAAGTTGTACACAACTTTTTCGCTGTGTGGATGGCTAGCGAACTACACGTTTGGTTTTTAAATTAGTTGTTGTATTCCGTCCCAACTCATCCAATCCATACATCTACTAAGGCTAAGTGATGCATTTCCCGCTACAAGTGCGTGGTAGCCAATTGCTTGGCAAACCCGCTGTGAGCTATTGAGTAGTTATATTAGAACAGATTGAGCAGGCCGTGCGATAGGTTACGTAAATTTGACTTCCAATCAGTAAATACCCGGTGTATAGAATCGAGTTTCAAATACAGGTAAAACAGAGCTTAAGTACGACTACCACCAATGTTCTCAGTTCATTACACCTTAATCCGCACTAATTTTATCACGCAGAAAATTTTGTCCCGAACGTTTTTTTCTGTTGGTTCAAAGACGCTTTGAGGAGTTCTTTGTGATCTTTTTGTTGTGCTTTATAAATGGACAAAACTGCCGTTTGCTCGCTACCTTCTTTTTCCATATTTTTGTCTATATTTCTCGATTTCTTTCAACCTAAAAATAGTGAAAGATTAGCTATGCAGCCGAAGACTACCTTACGTAATAAGAAACTGATAAAAAAACATGCTGAGGATCCGTTAATACAATTAATAATAGCAATTTAATCTTGAGTTAAATAAGTTGTAGTTACGGTAGTTTTAAAGATTTTAATTGTAATACGTAGAGAAAGGAAAAGTACAGTTCATATCTATCTATCTATGCTTTACCTTAGCTGGTTTTCTTCAAAGTCATTTAGCCCAGATTTCCATTTCTGGGTAAATGCTTTATGAAATTAGATGTCATTAATCTGAACCTGATCCGATAAGGTCTCTTTGAGCCTTAATGTGCTTGTGGTTTCTAATCTGAATGTACTCTTGTATTCCTCATTGGCACATAAGGCGAAAGGTCCATTAAGTGGACACTAGGTTTTTTTGCTTATAAATGAATGAACATTAATGATTTGCGGGTGAGGCCTTTATTTTCTATCATAATTTAATAATTCCTTTTGACAGAGCTTAGCCAGTGAAACGCGCACACTGGGTGCCTAATTTCTGGTATTAACGCGCCTCCTAAGTCATGGTGACTAGCATTTGTACCATAGTATAATGTGTACATTCCCATTGAAATAAACACGGTGGACTATCGCAACCTTTGTGATTCTTCACAATGGTTTGTTTATGTAGTTATGAAAGGTCCGCGATGATATGCAGCGAATAACTAGCTCGACGCAAAAAAAAACCTGTTTTGCCTAAGAGTGGTAGTTTCTCACTTTGGTTCTTTCTGGATGACTGATAACCTTCGGCTTTAACTCTATTCTTGATTCTCACATCGTCCATAAACTTGACCTTCGACACCCCCGAGATTAATTCGATTAAAATATAACCCCACTAAAGTGCTTTTTTGAGCGAGGTCTGAGGGTGCTATTTCTCTACGCGATCTGCCGGTGACTACGAGGGGTCCTTCCAACCATATTGCGATATCTTCAGTGACGGCACCAAGTTCAGAAGTTCCGTTAGCGCTTTCTGTTGGCGTCACATATTCCTCGGATGCAGACGCAACCTTTTGCGTCATTTTTAAGTACAATAGCGGCGAAAATTATTTTCACTTGAATATAATTTTGAAAACAATCATCTCTAAGGGCCTACAGGCATAAGTTGTTGTGCATTACGTTGATCATACTATTTCAAAGGTTTTCTTTTTGCCGCTCAAGTATTCGTTTGTTGTTAGTATTTATAGTACGTAATATTGGCAAGTTATATCTCATCTCAATTAAATTTCATAGTGTTGTGAATGAGATTAGTTCAGCAGAATGTTGCAAGTGAAAAATGTATACCTTAGATACCTTGACTTTTATCTGAAGTCAGTAACCTCTCAAAGCCGCTTAGGATATTTGTCTCTTGTCCGGTGAGGGTTCTATAACTGAGAAAACCATTTAAATTATGTATTACACCTGGGCTGGGGCTTTGTATTGGTGTGGATTCTCATACGAGAGAGAGAAACGACAATTTGTAGTCGGTAAAACTGAAAGGGGCTTGTATAATAGGTAATGCTTAAGAAAAATGAAGCGGTGTATGAAATCCATTTTGCCAAGATGCATTGAGTAAATGAGCTTATTCAAAGCTTATAGCAAAGCTAGGTAAATATGCTCAAGTCATCCTTCTGTACATAGTGAAAGTTGTTACTGACGTATTATTTAAGGGTTTTTCTATTTTCACCATACTCTCCAAACTACAGATAATTGTCTTTTCCTATCACCCACGGACGAAGATCGTAACAAGACGTTTAATAAGACGGCTTCCAGTTCTTTCTTTCTGCTTTTCGTTGGACCGTCCGAAAGTCTTTTGGCAATGTCCCACAATCGGCCATCGTCACCGGTACTATGGACTCTTGTAAGTTTGGAACTTGCCCTTCTAGCTGCGTCACTTAATGAGATAGGGAGGTCACGTCTGGCTTTTATGGCTACCCGTTTACCGTATTTCTGTGCCATCCCATGTCCGTCTAAGGCCCTCCTTGCGTTGATCTCTTTTTTTTACGGTTTATAATTGCGGTCTGCATTCATCGTTTTACTAAGTACCTGTTTTCGATCCAGCAACCCACTACGGTAGTCATATGGGGGCGGGGTGGGAATATGACTTGTGGCCATCCACATCTTGAGGTCCTCCGTTGTATGATTAATGCGTTGGACCAGGACTCAACAGCTCGCCGAAACGCTGTCTTAAGGAAACGCTATCAGATGCCACGTATCCCTTTTTAATTTAGTATGCGTTTCTTTTTGTCACCGGTACATTTTTTCTACCTATATTATCTATAACTTTGGTGCATGTACGTCACGATCGGACCACGTACGTCACTAGCGAATTCTCGGGCATAATCTGATTAATTCCTATGGCTTGACGCTGCCGCGCCTATGTTGCTGCTGAACTAGCTAATTTTATTCATTCAGATGAGCGTAAACTGCAGTATACATAAGCCGTCATGCGGCTTCAGTTGTAGCACATTGTATGTCGCTGCACAGTTGTTTCATAGGTTATCAACTGAAAAATGGGCATAGCTGCCTGAGTAACATAATAATAACCTTGAAATGGCAATTTGCCAAGTGTCACGTCTTGCCTGCAGTAGCACGATGCCTTGTTTGATTACTAGTAACTGGTGTAACTAGTAGTTACCGTTCAGATTCTTTCAAAAAAATCATCTTTACAGGGTACGTGTAGGAACGTTCAATTAACAGCCTCAACGACGTTTCGTTCAATCATATCACACAATAAATGTTGTTGGCTGATAAACTTTTCGAAAGGCGGTGGCGGCACGTGTGTCGTTTGTGTCCAGTGGTCTTTCACCAAATCGGTGTTTGTCCCGTAATTTTATTTTCCCTGAACTGTGTCTTAAGGTTTCCTTAAAAGAGAAAGGCTCTACAATGACGATGTACCTAGACCATTGACCGAAATACTGTTCCTGGTGCGGTGGCAAGGCCGTAGAAATGCTACGGCAACTACTAGGTAGCATTTCGTGCTCGGTGAAAATTTAGATTTTTACCAGTCATGTGAAATGGTTGTTTGTCTATCTCGAGGTGTGCTTCACTTTAGCTAGAACTGCTATAGCAGTTGAGGGATAATTCACATCGATTACTTGGATCGCCTACGGGTTCGTTCGGTCATGAAACGCGCGACCCTTCACGACCATTTCGCTGTCTGCATTGGTTGTAGCTTTTGAGACTTTTTTTCATTCATAAGGACTGCAGTTTGGTCCAGCATTATTTCAAAGACGGTTTCACTGTCCATGTTAAATACATAACATGATTCACAGCACAAATTGTATTCTTTCCAGTGCAGATTACGTAGACGTATTCAACTGCAGTGCAGTTGCCGTTATCTCAGACGCGACGGTTCACACCCCATGGGGTGGTGGATTGGTAAGCTTCAGTCTCATTGGCAAGCTGCTTTCCAGAATGCACTCTTTATAACGCAATCAGTATAAAAAGGTAGCTCTTTCTCTGATGGCGCTCTATTCATTGTGTTGAAAGTCAGCCTAATCCGTGCCTTTTGTGGGATCGTGGCCCGCGACTTTGTACAGAAATGCAAACAGATAGATGTAGACCAGACGGAGCTACGGGCATCGGCCCGTAGATCTATCTGCTCTCAATTATCTGGTTTACTTAAAATCAAAATAATGAGTAAATTGGACTCCAAATTGTCAGTATAAGTTTCTTTTACTACTCTTGTAAATGTAAAGTTAACCTCCAACCGTGCGCGCAAGATCTTACTCCATAACACTCTACAGCTACATACAACCTCACATTGGAATGTTATTGTAATCTCGATACCTCTCCTGCGTACATCCCGTCTTTTTTATTTATTTTTTTCCACAAGACCTACTACCCTGAAAAAGGTTATCCGTTCAAGGAATATGTACTATATTTCCAGATGATTCATACGGTTTTTTAAATTTAACCAAATTAGCATCGCGCTTCCCTATTGGAGAAAACAGTCACTCCCTGAATTCAATCAGAGATCATGATTTTTTGCTTAATACTATTCTCTCATACCGGTGACTCTTATCATTCGAATATTAACAGACAACAGCAAGCGATTACGAGGGTAGTAGTGAGCCGTCCTATGTAGGACAGAAAAAACTGTATTCGTACACTTAAAAAAAACTAATTTAATCGAATTAGACCGTTTGGACGCAAATTTTCTGAAAGGGGCATATGACTAGTGGGCGATGTGGCCAAAGTAATTCGCTCGTTGCAATATTTACCCATTTATTCTGTTCATTTATTTAATTTCTCCAGGTTTATGCTAATTTACTTATCTAGAAAAGTTTCTCTATTAACTCGCGATTATATCTATACGAGTGAGTTTAAGTGGTTTCATTTCATAGAAACTTACTTCTTCCTACTTCGGTACCTTCTTCTGTTTGTATTTACTTAGCAGCTTTTGTTCGTTGATCAGTAATTCAATTTTTTAGCACGTAATATTATTGTGTAGTATCTATTTTGCTTGCAGATACTCAAGTGTCATATACCCGTGAAAAATCTTTATATGATTATATGATGATATATATGACAAGATATGGACGCAAAACGGGATCTTAACCTTGACGTGGATATAATACTTCTCATAATCTCGACGTCTTACAAAATAAGATCAATATTTAAGAAAAAATCAGCTAGAAAAATCAGCCGAACTTGCTGGGAAAAACAAAAAACGATAGAAATTTCCTAGATTCATCTTTGTTTTCTTATTTGTTGTAGATATTGCATATTGCATCCATTTTCTTGTAGTCATCTTTTGAGATTTTCTGTTGTCCAATGAAATTCGCTCATGTTTTAGTCACACCGCTTTAAGAAGTTCGTTTAAAAGTGTAACATTTTAGTAAATAAAATCTATGTTTAAGGTAGTAACAATATAAAATGGCATAAGAGAATCAATTTGTATTAAACAGAATGCTATATATATCTAGCACATCCTGGACCTGCTATATACTTGTGTAGTACAGATCTGAAAAATGAAAAACCTAACCACTTTCCACAATTAAAATGAAAGGAATACCAGCAACTTCCTGCAAGTTAATTAACTTATAATAATAAATAATACGTAAGAACGTAATTATTCTTCGATGGAGTTTCAGGGTCTTTTAACGCTATTGTTACAGCATCGTGGACCAAATAGTAGCCGCAGGAAGGGCTGTACCAACAGTGTGTTTTGCCTACCAGACTCACGAGGTCGTTGTGCCGATTTACGCGAATTTACGAAACCGTCATTTGTATGAAATGCTCCGTGCTACTCTATTATGCATGGCTGTACTATTTACGATCTATTCCACCACTGGAATTCTCGGATGCATTACCTTTGGCGCCGCCGTTCGACCGGACGTCATACAAAACTTTGATGCGAATTCACCATACGTTCTTGCAGGTTAGTTATAGTTTATAATTTTCCTTAGATGCTTTGAACCTATAAACTAAATTACTACATTCCTAAGTGGTAAGGCATTACTAAGGTTGCATGTAAGTGGCACTGTAGTAGCTTACGTGGAAAATATAAATCGCGTTTTGCTGTGCTTATTCACAACTGAGTCTCTCCCTGTTTAATGCTTCCCTTCCGACAAACCGCCGCGCGTCCGCCGATTAACTAATATGACTAGGACGTTCCGCCCAGGACACTCGCAAACAAAAAAAGCACTAGTCAAATTCACTTTTATGCTTATGGTATACAGCGGGTCTGCTGTCTGACACGATTCTGGTGGGCATAACTGAGTTTCTGGATTAGTAAGGAACTTTGGCTGTCACTGGAAATGAAGAAACATTTTACAGAAAGTTTTTGCAGAACTTATGGGAACGAATTGCGAATAAATCAGCACAAATAATCTTTTTTTTTTTTCAAAAAAGGTAAATTCTATGTATTTATTCGTTCATTCGTGCTCATATTCATGCGTTCAAAAAAACACACCATCCGAAAGGCCCAAACCCAATTTAACAGGATCGCGCTTTTCCTCTAGTCTTACACATTGCTATGAAAACTTGTTGCCAGATCTAAGATGTATCCAAGCCGTTATATGACCTTCTTAAAGTTGGTAAAAATTTTTTTGGTAGGACAGATTCTAGGAACCATTCTGCAATATCATACTTTGATGCCATTTGAAACAAGTATTCTAGCAACAGACATTTGTTCTATTGGTGTATCGGCGATTTTCTTCTACCAGGAATGTAAAATAAAGATACAGTTTTGGCGGAAGTTAGAAGATGTTAAAAGTTAAGAGAAAAAAGTTGAAAGATGCATGGTGTACCTTTACGGAAGGTGTTTTATACTCATCGCTGATAATCAGGCGCCGATATGTATTTCTGAAACCAATAAGAGCACCTCCGCAAACGTAGGCCGTTTTCGATATAATATTACTTATAGGTCATCAAAAGAAAAAAGTCATGTGAACGCTCTGGATATCCAGTCCAGGCCAAGATGATATTTAAAATTTATCACAAAACTTTTAGTGTAAGTGCGGAACCAACCTAGTGATCATGGAAGCGTAAATTCGGCAAAAATTATGTTTGCTAGAAAACTGGGTGATCACTCAATTGTAGTGCAAAAAAGTTAAATGTTGCAGGACTAGTAGCTTCAGGATAAGCAAGCTAAAAAAAATGTTAACTTCCACTTAATCTGCTCAAGGAAAATTCGGCAAGATTCTAAGCAGGAAACTGGATAACCAGAAATTGGGTGCACAGTATTAATAATAGATACCTAAGATCCTTTCTCTCTCAATACAATATATATATATATATATATATATATATGTATATACATACGTCGAATATTTTATTTATTTGGCCATTAGCGAAGAGTTATTCTAATTATCCACATTAATTATCACACTATGATAACCGTTTCTGGGCGCCCTGTCCTGGAAAACGCGAGTGTGAATATTTTACTGTTGATAGTAACTCGGATTTTTGTTTATTGATTTGATCGTCAGGTATTGTTGTCTTAATAATAAAAATGGTGTTCACGTATCCCCTACTTGTTGTGTGCGGCCGAGGAGTGCTGGAACGTGTTGAATTAGCTAGGTTTAAGCAACGTGATTGCACCAGCAGGGATTGGAGCGTGTATACACATTATATAATCACCCTCGTATGGTTCGCTACGAGCCTGATGCTTGCTACAACTATATACAACCTTACCAAAGTCATCGACTGGATAGGAGGTCTAGCCTGCGCCAATATCTTTATTTTTCCAGGTAGGCCTTTGGATTGTCAACTAAGAGATGACAGGATGGCATGTGGAACATAGGTTTTTTTTGACTGATAACGGTAATTTAACACAACACAGAATTTTTTGCTATAGAGCGGCTAAGAAAAAATTATTAATGATACTATAGATGATAATCATAATTAGATAGCAAAAGTATTTAGATCAAATAAGGAATAATCGCGCTATTAGGGGGAATTTAAAACGATGAGATTTTTAATAGACTAAGAAAAAGTTTATACCAGCCCTCCTTTTTGACAATAACTGTTAAAAATATTGTAGACTGAGTCCTTTATATATATTTTCCTGTTTTATACATTAATCAACAGAGAGGCAAATAGGTATTCGCACATACCCTCTGCAATTACGTCAGTGACGTTAATGACAACTATAGCGTTCTACACAAGGAAAAGGGCCACAAATATGAATGAGCGAACATGTCACATCACGTATTTCTGCAATTTCCTATTTCAAAAGGCTACGTTTATGATTGCCTTCTAATGCACTTACAAAGTGTTGTTGATGTTAAAAAAAAGTTGAAACAAAACTTACTTGAAGTATATTGCTTTCACTTCCAATTTGTCAGTACCAAATTAAATTGAATTGTACGATCCTAGAGATTACGGTTCATAAATGGACAGTAAAGGTGGCGTGCTTACAGGAGACTCATAATCTAACAAGCGTTTGTAGCTTCAATAGCCCATAATTGCCGTAAAGTTTTTTTCATGATAACTTGAATATTATACCTGTTCTTAATGAAACGTTATGGTGAGAAGGTGGACCAAAAGATAAGGTTTAACTTTACCCAAGCAACGTGACTTAGCTGTATATACTCTAAACATGTATCCGTTCATATTTATACTGTAATCTTTAATCTAATTCAACTATGCTTATACCACCTTATCTTTAACCCTTTTATAATATCAAAGAGGGTTGAATTTTTCCCAAAGTTCTGATCATCTAGCGAAGATCGCCTGGCATTCACATCGCGTCAGTTTCCCTGTAATGATGGAAGAATTGTTTTAACGTTCCAAAAGGAAGGAAGGAAGGTTTTCCTATAGTTCTGTTCACATGTCGGCTGCACCGATCTTTTAATCGTGCCAAGCGCGAGCCGTTCCTTGCAAATGTCTACGAGCCCAGCACACAAAGCATTCTGATGGCCGTTCCCATTCGTTGGCGAGCCGCTCGCTTTTCAATTCACGGTTTGGGCTTGCTTCCGTCGAGTTTTACTGGGCAACTACCAATTATGTAACTATCCATACGATTATTTTTATATTTTTGACCATATCATCGACTGTCTTGGGGCTGCAACCAAAATGAAGCGCACCAGTTTCGTCTTATCGTGGGCCGCGAGAAACGAATGCTTCATAGCGACCTACTGTGGCATTACATAGCCGTAAGTATATTATTATTCAAATTTATGCTAAAATACTTGATGTCCTACATCACACGTTCCTGATAGACTGATTTGTCCAGAGAAGGACCCCCATAGCGACAAAACAGTGTAATAATGACGGTTGTTGCAACATCGACGGATGTCGAGGTTAATAATCGGTTGTCCCGTAAGTTTATATTGGATTTTAGAATTATCTACATTTTGGCGCCCCGAAAGAGGAAAACAGCGGTTATTTACCATTTTTTGAGTATTGTATACTGGCTTTTGGTGCCGTGTTCAATCCAATTGCATGTTTCAGTTGAATTATATGTGGGGTCGGTACGACTCCTCTCCTGGTCTCCCCTAACATAAAGGTCTAAATGGAACTTACAGAGATGCTTTTTGGCTGTCTTTTCGTCTTTTTTTTTCACGATTGCTTGCGTCCTTTTCATATATAACACACGCATTGTTCTTTTGGCTCGTCACTTGAATCACAAACATAATACACTTTATGAGAACGATGTCACGTTCCAATTCCCCTTCTATTTGTGAGCTCAGCTGTGCAGGATTATGACCTAACGCATCGGTATATTGTATCACTCTGCCGGGGTGCTTGAATTTAAACTGGAGTTCCGCTACTAACCGACCGACTCTCACACTCGTACTGCGCATCAGTAAGGTTCTAGTGTAAACTATTGTCCCGAGTAGAAGTGGCGGAGGGCGTTCTCATCTATGCAATCGTCAAATGTTGTAATTTGGTCGAGTGGTAATTTTCCTTTAATACAGACAATTGCGACGCCTGGCTGATAGTGCGTAATAGTATCGTTTGCCTCTTATCTGTTCCGCTGATACCGCAGCCAAGACGAGACTATTTGCATTTGTATCGAGTTCTCTTGTTCGCTTTATTTTCAACTTTATTTGCACTAAATCACTTAGCAAGCGTTCTCGCAGCTGCTTCCATACCTACTTATACTGCACTAACTAATCGAGTTTCATGCACCTCCTTCACGCAAAGGAATCCTTTCATCTACAAAAGAACTCTGACAAACTTTCGCACATCTGCAGCGCTCTTCAACGCCGGGTACTAATGGTAGTAACCGGCCCCGAGGAGTTCATACCTTGCATAGAGGAAGCCCATTGGCTTCATTGAGATTCGGTGGACTCAAATGCTATTAGAATCAGCTAAATATTTACAAGTTACCAGTTCACCTGAGGTGTAGCTTGCCATAATAAAAATATCCATAAACGCGTTACACAGTTCTGTGAATGCAGCTCTCTGTTCAACTATAAGGACAAGATCTGCATACGCAGACCGCGACGGAATCACTATTCCAGACTTTCCGACCTTTGTAATGCCTCTTTCACAAATGTCAACCTCATTTCATCGTACTAATTCCTCGGTGTCAAACTCAGCTAGCTTCATTCGCTTTGGGTTAAATACCGATGCCCCATATCCTCCTGTACGTATTTGCAACGACGCAGAGCTAACCACTTCAACCTGCCTTTCCTCTTTAGTTGGATTGTGTAGTTATTCGTTTAGTTGGATTGGATATTTGCGCCCAACACAATAAAACAATCGCCGCCGATAAATTAACCTAGCTTAATTACCGCCTCGTCCCTAATTACCCTTGCCACAGCTTACAGCCAACAGTATATCCTTCCAGTACAGCTCTCCCGTAGCCGGTTAACCGGTAAATGACCACAACTTGTCTTCCACTATTACAGAATCATCCTTAACCTCGTTCATTTTGACTACTACAACACACAGGTCATGGCGGTAGGACACGCCGTCCTTAGCGCGCAACAATGTAGCGGTAGACTGCTTAGGCAACGAAGTTCTGGGCTTTCTTCGCTATACTGTAGATTTTTTCAAACAGCATCATTCAACACAGATGATTGAATGAAACCATTTATTGTCACCCAGTCACATCACACGCTCGCCTACATACTGACACTACTGCCGACCCTTATGAGGTTTGTGAGGCTTGTTCTATTGCTTTCCTGTATCAGTATAATGACACCTGCCTCCGGGTTCGTCACTGGGTGGTCTTTTCTGTTGATGGCCACTATGTTGGCCTGTTCGATCTGACATGATCCATTTAGTAGTGATGCGGTCGCACACACTTGGATGCATTGTCAGGCCATTCCGCCGGAATGGCCTTCATCAGAATGGCATCAGAACCAAACTGCTATCGAAGCATTGCGGCCAGACTTCCGTGGCCTCGCACTGTGTGGACGCCTTGCAGACTAGCTTTGCACCAGCCCCGTTTCTGTGTGCACCAGCCCGAGGTTCCGTTCGTTAAATTACACTGCACGTGGGCCTACTGAACCAGTCACAGCATCGTCTTATCAATTGCGACTGCTGTTCAGTATCGAGCTGTAGTTTGACAGTTATGAACACAGTATGATTTTTTGCGTCGCTCACGCCGATCTCCCGGCCTAGGGTTTATGTCCTGCGTACATATGTGCACGAAGCATCTCGCTGCGCCGAAGCATACATGTGGAGCAGCTCCTAAATTGAGCTCCTAATTTTGCAAACTAAAACTGCATCCTTGCACTTCGAATAACTCTGGCTCATTGCGCCCTTTTTAGAAGGCTCGACTGAAGCTCAAGCGGAAGGATAATCTTCCAGATAATCTGGTGTTTCTGTACGTTCGCACCTAGTACTGCCCATCTTCCTACGAAGGTTTTCTTTGGTCTAGGACTAATGGTCGATCCGATTTCAATGAGGCCACCTTCGTGATTAAATCGTGAGTCGCGTAGGCGTTCTTAGGTATTATTACCAAGCAACATTTTTTTAGTTCCTAATCTTCGGACTAGTGTTTATGTACCAGGATGTATAAAGGTAAACAGAACACATACTTTGCCTTACTTACTCAACAATTGCTTCAAATTTACTCTAGCTTAGTATTAACTAATTAGCATTAATTAATTAATAATTAGCACGTACATTAGCTAACTGATTAGTGATTGTCCCGAAAATTCTAATAGAAGCACACTTCTCATACAAATATCATGGCCACCGCTAACAGTAACAAGACTGCCAGCCATAGAAGTCAGGGCAATCAATTAAGCAGATTCAGTTACTCTTTTACATCGTCAAAGGAAGCTGGGAACATCGACCTTCTGATAGACGCTCTGATAGCAGCGTCTCGATGATAGAAAAAATTAGTGGTCCGCATGCCGTGACGGCAACAAAAGCCGATTTTTGAAACCGCTGAGATTCGCTAAATAGTTAAAAGATGAGGTTTTGACAACCCAGGTACTCGATTACGCACGACACACAACTGATGCTTTGTACAACATTTTCATAGCGTTATCTCATTTTTACGAACACAGCAACAGAAGCCCTCGATTTTCACTGAATAGCTGCAAACTTATGCTGGCTATCAGTTCCATTAAACTGTCCATTTCTGGCTCATTAACCAGCGTAGTAACTTCAAGGGCTGGCGAATTGAATACATTATTGGTCAAGGAATCTTCAGTGTAAACTCACCACCCTAAACATCTGGGAAGTACTACCTAGCTCCACAGATTAGGCACAATGATGCCGCGAAGCAGGGCACGTCATTTGCTTACTAAGTAGTTCATAGGTCGATTGAGCCTACTGACTAACGCTGATAAGAACAAACATTTCAGCACAAAACTCTCCGAACCCTCGTTCCCTTACGACTTTACTGATCGAAAGCGTTTCGAATAATGACTTATCTATGCCACTGCCTTTAGGAATTGTAGCTTCATGAGATTCGTTGTTGGTCTGCAACGAGCAGCAGAAGCCGCAGAAAATAAAGTGTTGCCGGCTGCTTTGCTGAATGAAATTTGACGAGGTCCTTCTCTAAAGCACCCTTTGATCATCTACAGTCACGATGGCTACACGGCACGACTATATAATAATCGAGTTGTTTTGTGTAGTTAACTGTGAATAAACAGCGTCCTTTTTACTTTTTCAAACAATTCTTTAGTTAGGTGCATCTAACTTACAGAATGCTAATTTTTACGCTACGCATTAATAAGTCATACTATTGGATCACTGCCATTGACTACGCATTGCGACCTTTAATGGGCTATATAGTACACATCTTAATTTATAATCACTGTACATTTCTGGCGACCTGCAGCACAAACTGATGAAGCACAGACAGGTCTGCTTAGTCGGCGGTAGTGAACACTTCACTAGAGCAAATCAGTTTAGCCAAGCTTTAAAAAAAGTTCAGACAACAAGGAGTTGGGACCCCAACAGGAGTTGGGGTCAGACAGCATGTTACCTGACTGATGGCGTTAAGTGGCGTGAATTCTGAACCTTTCCAAGTTATAAACCGATATCAGGAATAATCTTTCGGAGCCACGTATACGTAAAACACTGCGGGGGAAAATTGCAGCCCAGGTACTGCTAGGTCAACTTGCTATCTCCAGGGTCCAAATAAGCGACGTAATTAACCGGCCTCCGTGTAATTAGAACTCTAGGAAACTGATACAAGGGTCAACTTTTTTTTTGCAGAGGAGCTGCTAAAGCGTATTAAATAGCGACAAATTAACAACGGACCCGAGAAAGTGAAAGCAACAGTACGTTGAAGCGATTTAGGACCAAAAAATCGGAGCGAGATACCTCTTTTGTCCTACGCTATTTTCAATTATAGATACGTCACTTTGAGCCAACGTGAACACCAAATATACCTATTAACCCACCCGATGCAAAAATGGCTGACACTTAAAAGCTATTGTTGTCTAAATTTTTAGTGATTGGTTAACGATAGCGTACGGTTCAACGGCGATCTGACAGATTTAAATCTATGAACTTGCCAAAAAGAATTGACCGGTATTTGTTGCTTGAGTGTTAATAGTATTATGCGTTGGTATGAATAAGTGACAGGCACCTACCGGATCACGTGGATGAGCTTCCTTTCTATGCCAGACAGGCTTTTTCTTAACTGGAATCTCTGATAGCTTCGACTATGGTGTTTAAAGAGCCTTGTTCGTGCTTAAGGAAAGTTGAAACTTTTCCGTGCTTAATTGTCTCTAGTTCTTGTATTTATTCATTCTACTAGCTTCCTACTCGTTTCATTCGTTCTCGACAAACTTTTTTGAGGTCATGTTAAAAGCTCCCGAGAAAATCACTCCCACCTTCCTGTGTTCCGAGCGTTTTTGAGGATTAGTTCATCAGTACATTTCTGCACGCTTTCTCTTTGTTAATTTTGGGTCTCTACTGAGGACAAGCTCCTAAGTTTGTTGCGTGTCCTCTTCCTTCATTTCCGCAAGCATTTCTGTTTGTGCATACCCTTGGAATGTGACCCGGAGCTCAAATTTGTGATGCCGCCCTTTAAACATCCTCCTTATCTTAGCAATTCCTAGCTTGATGGCCTATATTGGTATTTAAAGATGCGGGAATGCACAACATAGGATACCACACGTAAAAGCAAACACTACTACAAATGTTAAGACCATCGACAGGTAGCAGACTACGGCACAATTGTGGAAAGAAAAAAAAATGCTTAGAATTTGCAATATTGGGAAGCTAAACGTTTCCCTAATTTGAGTCGCGCAGAGCATCACTAACATGCAAGGTACTAAACCGGGGCCTTTTGACAAGGTCTACCGCCAATAATTTTACACTAGAGACTGACTTAAAGTTCGTCTCAGACGTTCGCGATTCATTTCGACGCGCATTTGAGATGGTTTTGTTACGGATTTCGAGACCTCGCCACAACAAGAAAATATCTGAACTGAATGATTCAGTGATATTTGAAGATGTCCTTGATGCCATTGAGGTCAGCTTGCCGAGCTATAACTATTTAGCGCAAACTGAATCTCTGTATTCCACAATCGACACGGTGAAGGCGCGCGCGACAGGAAAAAGGCTTAAACAAAAAAAAAAACTCAGCAAGTTCATACAACATCGTATTAGCGCGTAGCTGTTTCTTAGGGAGTGTTAATTAATTTTAAAATTGCTTGACAATGCACTGTGAATCTAAATAAAATACTGACTTTATTTCAGGTATGTGCCTGGTAGGAATATCGACTAATAGCAAGGAGTTCCGCATTCAAAGGCCCGTTTTGAACCTTCTCGTAGGAATAGTACTTGTTCTAATAGGTAAATATTTCCAATACTCGTCAGTGTTTATAGCATTAGATAAATCAGAAAATGATGTCTGGTCTCGTAATGTTATTGGCGCCATTATTGTCGGTTGTCTGGAATTATTCAATTTAAATTTCGCTTTACCAACAATATTTAGGTCTGGCGTAGAGGACGTAATTTAGCTAACATTTGAAAGTTTCCATAATTAAATGTTACCCATTTAATTCATTAGTGGTCGAAAAATATACGAATGAAGAATACGGTGGATACAAGAAACTGCCTAACGAAAGTCCTAGTAATGACCTTGCGTGATGCCGTTCTCGTGAAAAAAAAAAAAGATCTTTCGTCTTTTCTGTTGGATAGCGTAGTTGACTCGATGCAACTGGACCACAACAAAGAGATTTGTCAGCTTCTGCTAGTGTTATGAGTGGAAAGTTCCATCGAATTAGCTAAGATCCAGTTTTTAATAAATGGCCATACCGTTTTCGGCTTCGTATTGATGTAGGCTTAGAAAAATTTCGTATTGGATTCGGTCATTATGGTTGCGTCTTCCTCATCGACCGTGGATGATCGAGTGAACTGGGCTGTAGGTTCAAGATGCTGTGCACTACATTACTTATTCATAACTAAAACTGAGTAGTCTTTTCAATAATCATAAAGCAGAACTATAATCGATAGGGCACAATATGTCGGGCACGTCGGTAGCTTATCAACCCCAGCAATTTTTTGAAATGAAGTAAATGTGTGAAGTGCCTATTTTTTGTCAGGCACAGAGGCGGGAGATGGATAGTTGATTCATCGCCCAACGCGATGACAATAGGCTTATGGATTTCTCTGAACAGGCGCAATTAGCATAACGGCAGCTGTCGGCAGTTGGTCGAATGCTGTTCGAAAACTTTAACGTAAGCCTAGTTACCTCTTCTTGCTTTTACTTGAAGGACAGCGAGCCTGAATATTGCTCAGAACCGTAAATTTTCGTTACTGGTGACAAACCGTGGAATATAGAGTCGTTTTTCGTGAATTACGTTAGCTATTAGTTTTTTTTTTCTCTCTATTAAGCATCTTATAGTAAACAGTTTGACCTACGAACTTTCATTAATTCGTATAGGCATCGGTTTATCAACGATGGTATTCGCTAAGCAGTTATATGAAGAGGACGATGAACTAGAAGTCTTGCTGTGCAACCCTGCGGTATAGAACTATCCGCTGTCTTGAAGCTCTTCGTTGGTGACCTAAAGTGTCTTAGCATGTTCCTTGAGTTTTACTGAAATTTAAATATCATAAAATTATATAAAAAAAAGTTTCCAAGAAGTGGGTTGAAGTTGGATACACCATAATTACGAAGAAAGATCATGATATACGTAATTATTCCTTGTGCCGTTGCGCTACGCGGACAGTTCATTATGACTGATGCACTATTCTTTCTTTGATGCTTATTTAATAAATAAACAATTGCATATTTATTGCTTATTGAGTTTACTTCTTGCCTATTAGAGAAATTCGTGAAAAACCTAATAATAAAAATAACTATCTATTGATAAAAAAAAAAAAACATTTATCTGCGATATGATAAGTGGACATGAAATATTATTTTTAGTGTAACATTTTTACACCACTTTTAATATATTATTTTCGGTCCAATTAAAACGTTGGTTAAATAGCCAAAGTTACTTGACCATCGTTTTCAAATAATCCGCAATACTGAATGGCTTTGTACTCCTGTTTATTAAAAAAAAAAAAAAAAAAAAAAACTAACATTTATGTGAAAACATAAGGAAAAACATGTACAGGGTAATAATGTACACGAGGCTTAAGTCCGTGTCTTCTAACGCGGAGCTCCTGCATTGCATTATGGCTTAGGCGAACGAACCTCTAGCTAGCAAAAGCGGCACTCGCGATTTGAGGCCCCGCTAACAACAAATGTTACAAGATATGTGTAATTAAATAAAATAGCAAAATTTCATATACAATTAAAGCCCTCAATATTTAGCAATTATTTCGAAAATATTTACCGCAGCTAAAAATAAGGATACAAATAGGACCTTCTGTATGAGTAAGTCTAAAGCTGAGATTTGCTAAGCTCGGGCAGATATTCAGCTTGAGTTGCTGGCTCGGGCATACGGAAAACAAATTTTATCTATGCATTCATTTGTCAACCCTTAGATAGCTGGTGTTCTCTTACCCAAATCAACCCCGTAGCATTACCATATTGGATTGATTTTTTTTTCTAATCGGTGCAGTCTCGCCCTAGAAAGGCGGTGCGGAAAATAGGGCCTATTTCAACTAGATTTCAACTATTTTGATTGATTTTCCATGTATACAAGCAACGCCGCAGCGCCATTTAAGAACACCACAGCAGCGACAAATATCTGCATTGATATATTGTCAAATGTATGATATTATTCACCTATCCAACACATATTTTATGATAGAACTGCGAAAGGAGTACGGCAAGCCCCTCAGCATGACCTGCCCAAGTAGTTCTCTAGGCATGGATCAATAAAGCTTTGCTTCCGAGTCTAACCTCTTGTAGGCTAGACTCCGGCTTTTATAGCCGGACGCCTCCTCAAGTCCTACGAAATAGGAGGGCTTTTATATTCCTCACCAGGCGCGCAGCCTGCAGACACTCTCGATGATAACTGCTTGCTACAATCCGACCGCGATGATTTGACGAAGTCAGAGGAGGATCACAAGGCGGACAATCACCCGTTAGCTCATCCATGTGCAGAGAATCCACCCAGTCACAATCCGATTAAGACCCTTATGATGCCTTCCGGTTGTTAATCAACGTCTTGCTTAAGAAAAACGGAAATCTGAAAAGTGTTAATCCAACAGACGAGTGTTACCAAAAAAGGTGAAAATGTAAATTTTATCTGCATGGAAACTAAGCTCAAATTTTGTGACAATTTTCCTTTGGAGTTAACGCGCCCTGCAGAACTAACATGCCCGTTGCTCATGCATTTCATGCGATGACCTCATTTTGCATAAATGGGAAGTGGCGTTCTGTTTAGGGAACGCACAGTCCTTGCTTAATTATACACTAAGTTGTCTATCATCAAATACGTCCGTTAGCATCAGCACATGGTGAGCCAGATGTTGTTGAAGGTTGCCGGCACCGTGCCGCATCGTTCTGCTTTACCGAGATAACTAGGCCGTGTCCAATCCACACGCAGCCGGACTCCTTCCGGACATTTTGAATTCACGCTGATCCTACACCACGCTCTCCTATTCTCGTTTCGTGACGGGGGCTAGCACCTCGGGCTACGGGCAATCAACAGTACGACACTAACCACACTGCGCCACTACCCGTACGATTCGCCGAACCGCCTGTTCCAATAGTACTATATCACTATTCCTAACTATGAGGTGTAACGTGCAAAGGCCAGATGCAGTTCGCCACCTCTTCAAAAACCAACAGATCGGCCAGATTTAGCTGTGAGTTGCTAACCAATACTTTTCATACGCCATCACATGCGGAAGAACAGTACATTGTAGATGACCGTAACGTAGGGCCCTGTCAAACTCGTTCACAAATATTCCGCCTTCCCTCCATGAATGTAACTCGCCTTTGATAGGAAACTCCATTTGCACTTGAGTTAAGTGCAAGAGAAGCTGCGAGCTGGCGTTGGACCGCCGTGAGGCAAACTAGTGTTACTATACCGTTTTGTTATGGTGATTGTAATCCGGCTTCTTACGAGGGGAACGATAGGTTTAAAGAATAGCTCTTGCGTTCGGTTTAAAAATGAGGGCCATTAAACTAGGATCAGTGGATTATAACTGAACGCCCTTAAATCAGAAGCCAATCCAGAACCCATGATAGCAATGCCGTGTATGCTTTATTCTGTAGTTAAATCAATGCCCAACTGAATAATATAAGCAGATCAAAATAACGTAACGGATGTATTTGTTAAATTTTAGTACATCTCGGACATAAGATAATATCTAAATGCTAGAGCCGTTACCATACTGCGATCTAATGAAACTTATCTTGAACCGGCTACATGAACAAGCAGTAAGTGTTCCGCTACGAGCGCATAGCCCCTGAAATTTGTGAGAAGATTTTAAAGTGGATTGTATTCATGGTACTCTGCGAGGAAAACGCGTTCGCTAAATCATTACGTTGAACTATTCAAGTTCCATACATGGACAAATAAGAGGTGGGTAAAACAGAAGCACGGTACTCGTTTGTTAAATCCCGTCAGACGAATGTTTTTCACTGCATATATACAGCTAACCCCCCGCTTGAACAAAATTTATTACTTGCGTTTTGCTTCATCACGTCCATTCGTCTTCATTATGTGACGTATCCGAAGCAACTGGCGTTGACGCTGCCAAAGGGGCTTTCATAAGCCAAGGGCTTCTCCTATACGAGTACTGAGACCTGACGGTGGCAGATGATCACATAAACACCACCGACAATTTTAGATCTATTTATAATTCATTTAATGGCCGGCAAACTAGCCGATACGCTGTGTCTGTGGTAAAATGTAATAGCTGGAGACTTTCTACGCAATGCACGTATGGCGGCGGGCAAAGTAACGCTCCCGATTGCCGACGCCCACCTTGATCAAACGGTAACGTATTTTCAAGGCAAGCTGACGAAGTGTAGCATGACTTTACAATGTCAGCTCCCCTTTTTCACAAGAATTCCCCAAAATTCAATGTGAACGTTGAAATTCAACAAAAAAAAAAACTCCAGTATAACCTCCGTGAGCAGCAGGAAATCATACACATAGATACGCCTAAAAAGTAGTCTACAGTGATGTCTGGCGGGCCTAAGCACCTAGAGACACAAGCGGAACTTTTCTCACTAATTTGACCTTCACAAATGGGCGCGCTGACAAGATGGCACTTGCAGTGCCTTCGTCAATCATCGATGCCTGGCGCCCTTACTGCGCACTCCCGCTTCAAAATCCCCATTCAGGACACCAGAAACATGAAATGCAGCGTTGACAAGAACTTGAAAACAACTGATCTTCTTCGCTTGACAGCACTTGTTGTATTGTATTGTATTGAACAAGCGCTCAATGGTTAAAAGCGAAGCTTCGAACGCAATCGATTATTCCCTCAATGATACAAATGGTACTGACGAACTATTCAGCGAAATCCTAACTTCCGCCAGCTGCTACCTGTCGTCAGATGCGGCACTGCTGATGGAGTTGAAGATGCGTGCATGGAACACTCCCACCCGTTGAGGCAGTGGACGATATGCAAGTTAATTATCAACATGCGTTTCATCACGGTAACGCCGACTACCCTTTGTTTCCATTAGATTGGCAGGAATCCAAGATCATATCATTCCACTTGCCAATATTGTTATACATTGCAAATGTTTTTTACACACCTCTTTCGATCGTGACTCCAATGGACACCTTTTCGACAGCACTTCTCCGTCACTGGCAATTGACGCGTTGATCTCTTTCCTGGAGGGGGGCGACGTTTCACAACGCTTTTAATCAGGCCTTGAATGACAACAACGACAACAGTCGATTTATTTTAACAGTAATGCAGTATCTAAAGTCCCAGCACATACTCTGCGACTTAAAGAATGTCCTAGTTATCTTAACAACCTAACGGCATCAGTATTTTTGTACCCGCACTTCATTACGAGAGGCCACATTACCATGGGCCGGTTCAAACGCGATATTATGATGCATCTACAAGCCACTCCCACGCTGCAGAAGCCTCAGGTCTATTAGGTCAATAGTTGACGCCCAGTAAAATTTAGAAGCGGGTTAAACATGAGTGGAATCTAGCGGGCAAACTACAGTATACATTAAAGCAAAGCAAATGAAACGGCCTGTAGTTCATAGACAGCCAGTAAAGGAATCGATTTGTCAGACTAGCGTAACACTGGCGCAAGGTTTAAGGAGAACTATACACTAAATCGATAATACAGCCTACTCTAGTGCTTGCTATACAAGATGCAGGTTGCTTTTGCCCCTGCACAGTAATAGATTCATCATTGGCAGTTAGCTCCGTATGCGTATTGTCGTCGTTAATGTAAACGCACACTACCAGACTCAGTGACATTTCGGCTATTTGTCGTTTTAGCTTGTCTAGAGGAGACGGATGCTAGCAGCTGTTTGAGGGCAATGGCACATAAGAATTTTGCTCCATCACACAAACAGCTTAGTACGTTCACAAAGAATTGGAAATACGATTCAATCGACTGCCAAATTGCCCCGTATCACATATGTTTATGTATGCAGCCGACAAGTATTAGCACTCTTTTCTAAGACTTTTGTATAGCCCATCTCCTATACAGCTTTGCTTTGCAATAAATGAAGTTTTTTATTTCCCTCGAAGAGTTTGCCTTTAGCCACGGCCCATCCTACGTTGCCCTCAACTTTGTTCGTGAGCCTACATGTATCAAAGTGCCTCTCAAAAGTAATGCTTTTAGGAGAAACATGCATTACATC